AACTCTTTGCGTGCGGCCATCCAGCCAGTTACTTATCCACTGAGTGGTCCACATATATGCTTAGCACACATGTATGTGTGCACATGTCTATGCGCACGCATATGTACATACAGTTACGTAGTTAACAATATCATATAAGTATATATAGTCACATGTACGTATAGAGCTCTGCATAGAGCTCTGAAAAGCTGTCTATAGTTACATGGCTTTATATAACTGTATTACTATAGTTACACCAGATCAAGACACACTGGTAGATGTTGCTTGCTTCTGGCAAATATAAAATTCGAGTTTAGAGAAACAATTCATATATCAAATCAAGGAGAGAAGGAAGTTTACTCTTGTTCAAAGTGAACTTCTCCAAACACTAAAACCGTAGCACCGACCACAAAGTAGCAGACATTAATACCATAATATCCGCTATTTCTCTTGTTAAAGTCATCAGAAACAAGCCAGCCAACCAGTTCACCGTTACATTATTTCTTACAGTCTACAGCTAACTTCTTAGATATAATCTTACATTTTTAAGCAATGATTTCAAGATCCACTTTAGATGGTCTGACTCCAAACTTGATTTCTGCTCTCTAAGCAACTTGTTTAAAAATCTTAAGACATCTACTAAAAGCTTCTCATCCTCCACAGAAGCTGGAAGCACCTGGAGAAACCTGCAATACAAACAAATGTTTACTTTCATACTTGTAGTGCATTAAAAAAGTTTAAAATCTCAGCCTAATAGGGCTGAATTCACCAGCAAATGTGGAATTATAAAGTCAATATGTATATTACATATATTCATATATAGCAAATACAGGATTATACCAATTATATATATATTGGCTATATTAAATTGTTATATACTTTTACACATTTCTTGTGTGTTATAAAATTGTTATGTACATTTAAAAGTCTATTTACATAAATTAAACATAGGATTGCATATAGTAAAAGGTAAAAAAATCTGAACAAGGTCACAGACAGGAAAGAAAAGGTAATTAGCTATTAAATACTCACAGATAATAATAATAGCAAAGCCCACCTATGCATTTTAAATAATCTTTATTTTAAACACAGCATTCTTATTTTTTGCTGGTTTTGTGTGTGTAAATTACAGAATCACATAAACATTGAGATTGGAAAGGACCTCTGGAGCTCCAACCACCTTGCTCATGCAGGGATACCTGCCACTGGTTGCTCAGGACCATGTCCAAGAGGCTTTTAAATATCTCCAAGGATGAAGACTCCATAATATTGCTGGACAACCTGTGCGGCATTGGGACACCTTCACAGTAAAGAAGTCTTTCCTGATGTTCAGAGGAAACCTGTGTTTCAGTGTGTTTACCTTTCGTCCTATCATTGGCCACCACTGTAAAGAGCCTGGCTCAGTCTTCTTTATACCCTCCCTTCAGGTTTTCATACACGTTGATAAGATCCTGGCTCTGAACCTTTTTCAGGCTTACCAGTACCAGCTCTCTCAGTCTTTCCTCATAGAAAAGATGACCAGTCTTTCACTGTATTTCTGGTGCTTCGTTGGACTCTCACCTATATGTCCACATCCCTCTTGTACTGAGGAGTCCGAACTGGACCGAACACTCCAGGTGTGGCCTCACCATTACACAGTGGAAGGTAAGGATCACTTGCCTCACGCTGCTGGCAACAGTCCTCCTAATCCAGTCTCAGATACCATTACCCTTCTTTTCTGCAAAGGCACATTGCTGGCTCACGTTCAGCACGGTGTCCACTAGGATCCCCAGGTCCTTTCCTTAAAAGCTGCTTTCCAGCTTGGGTGACCACAGCTTATGTTGATGAATGGGGTTGTTCCCACCCAGGTGCAGGAATTTGCACCTCTCCTTGTTGAGCTTCACAAGGTTTGTGTCAACGCACTTCTTCAGCCTATCAAGGTCCCTCTGGATGGCAGCACAACACTAGCATACCAGCCTCTCCTCCCAGTTTTGTAACATAAGCAAAATTGCTGAGGGTGTATTCCACCCTATCATCTCAATCATTAATGAAAATGTTGAACAGGATTGGACCCAGTGTTGATTTCCATTGACCTTGCCATTCATGTGCATGGAAATGGGTTTCAGGATTGGTTGCTCCATCACCTTTCCAGGGACTGAGGTCAGGCTGACTGGCCTGTAGTTCCTGGGTTCTCATTCCTGCCTTTTTGAAGACAGAAGTAATATTTGCTTTCTTCCCATTCTCAGGCACCTCTCCCAGTCACCTTGATTGACCAAAGTGGACATGAAATTACTTCAATCAGGATATACTCATGGGTGCACCCCATCAGGGCACGTGTCTTTATGTATGTCCAGTTTGCTTATGTATTCCCTACAATGATCCTCTTTCACCAACATATCTTTCTTACTTCAGAATTTCCCCATGGTCTCTGGGACCTTAGATTCCTGAAAGCCAGTCTTGCTGATAAAATCCGAAGTGAAGACAGTATCTCAGCCTTTTCCATGTCCTGTGTCATTGCGACCGCTGCCCCTTTCAGCAGCAAGCTCACTTTTTCCCTAGCCTTCCTTTCGTCACCTATATACTTATAGAAGCCTTTCTTCTTGTCTTTGACATCCCTTGCTAGATTCAATTCTAGGTGGGTTTTCTGTTTTCCTAACTGCACCTCTGCATGATCAGGCAATATCTCTCTCTCTCCCCCAAGTTATATGCCCCTACTTCCATCCTCTGTGGGCTTTCTGCATCTGCGTCTTGTCAGGAGCTACTTGTTCATTCACATAGGCCTCCTGGTATTTTTGCCTGACTTCCTGCTCAATGCCATGGAGTTTGGAGGTGGCAATCACTGAATATTAACCAGCTTTCTTCGACCTCTCTTCCCTCCAGAGCCTGATTCCATCAGACACCAACAGTGAGATCTTTGAAGAGGCCAAAGTTTGCTCTCCTGAAATCCAGTGCTGTGATCTTACTTTTTGCCCTGCTCCCTCCTCTCAGGAATCTGAACTTTACCAACTCATGGTCATAAGACCCAAAGGTGCTTTAGACCTTCACATCCCTAATGAGTCCTTGCTTCTTTCTGAGCATGAGGTCCAGCAAAGCACCTCTCCTTATTGGCTCCTCTGTCACCTGTATCAGGAAGTTGTTACTGATGTGCCCCAGGAACCTCCTGGATTGCTTATGTGGTTATGCCCTGTTCTGCTGTCCTTCCAACAGATACAAGGAGGTGTATATATATATAAAAATTTTCTTTTTTTTTTTTTTTAACAGAGAGACCTATATATAGCTGTTCTGTTCTGTGAAAATGTAGCTACATATATGTATCAGAACCAGACATGCATGATCAATTCCATAAATTTAAAATACGAAAACGAGGAAATTTAAAACTTAAGCATCATAATCCTTAACGGATTTCTGTAGTCAATATGCTTACCTGTTTATTGCTTTTTGCCAAACAAAGCTCTTCAAAATGGCTCCACAAGACCCAGGATTGCATTTTAATGCAAGCCTGTCATTCAGAACATAAAAACTAAGCCTCATGAGAGCAGCCCTAACATCCCTATGGGATACTGCCTGAATGATTGAATTAAGACAATCCCGCAGTCCATAGCTGGTGTGAGTTATCTTGAGTATAAGAATGTCTTCTGAGGATAGTTTTAGTGAGTCTAAAAATCTGAAAATGTACAAGAGAAAAATTATTAACAGCCACTATTTTTACAAACTATTTCAGTGTGTTGACTCCTTCATTTCTCTGTTCAAATGAGAAGACAAAACATAAATTGTTAACCAACCCTTTCTCATTCCTCTCTCCCTGCCAAAAAAGGAAAACCCAACCCCAACAAAAACTAGCAACAATAACGAACACCACCACCACATTTAAAATCTTGAGCTGTTTGGGTTTTTTTGGAAAATGGCACTTCAAAAAGTTACTTGAAAGGTGCTATTCACATTGTTTGTAATGAAGTTTTCCTCCACACTATTGTAAATGTTGATCACTTGAACTATATTATTTTCCTATTCTCTTTTTTTAAGAGATTGCTTTGCTATTGCCTGAGGGCAATAAAATGAAATGATTTATCAAATCAGTAACTTCAGTTTCCCATGTCTCAGAACCACACTATTTACTAATAAAACTTGTAGGATTCCTTAAAGAAAACAAGCAAAAACTAAAATATGGTCAAGATTGACCTATCTCAGTCCTATTAAATCAAGAATATTCAAAGACATTGAGTTCTGTGCACTAAGTTGTCTCAATGAGAGAAATGATGATTAATCAGGAGCTAACCAAAGGATGTAAAGGGAATTTTCTTCATTATGTATCATAATTCTTAATATTTCCTTTAAAATTATAATTATTTGAAATTTAAAGTCCCACAGAAAAAAACAAGCAATTATTAAAAAAAAAAAATTAAAGGCAGCTCCCTAAAAACCATAATGATTACAAAGAAAAAGAGCCACAGAACTCACTTAAAATCATTTGAAATTAGTCTGACCATCAGTAAAAGTTTGATCAAGCCCTAGACTTCATGTAGAAATGCAATATAAGTAAAAAGTTAGCTGTGACAATATATCCACAGCCTCTTGGGATGTGATCCTTTATATTTAAATGGAGAGCATTCTCAAACAAGTAACAACCTGAACTGCTGTTTGAAGTTGAAAAACTATTTAAACTCAATGGAACAATAATTTAATTAAAATATATTGGTATTTAAAATGAAAATAAAATGGCTCACCTTTCCGCTTCTTTCTCGTAATTTATCAGTTGCAATAGGTTTTCAATCCCATGGTACCAAGACAGATTCCAAGACATCTTAAGCATATCTGACACAGGTTTCATAGTCAAGTACTCAGAAGACAATGGCACCACAACAGTATTAGGGCTAACTACATGATGAGCAGTGATCCTGACTGGGAGATGATACCTAAGTAAAAGAAAAATAATTATTTTTTAAGTGGTTCACGTTTTTTGTTTGGGTTTTTTGTTTGTTCTTGTTATTGGTTGGTTCTGGGGTTTTGGGGGTTTGGTTGGTTTGGTTTTTTGCCTTTTTTAATTAAGTGATTCATTAGAGCGAGGCTGGAAAAAACCCTCCATGCTTACAAATGCAAACAACTCTGGATTTAATATCAAAGATTTCCCTTCATTCTTCCACCACCGTACTTCAGGAAGGACTGCAAATGGAAAGCAGCAGAGTTAACTCTGAAAAGAACTCTGAAAAATAAAAAATAAAAATAAACTTGCTCTCTCAACACAAAAACCCAAACAAAACCACAACAACAACAAAATTAACCACCAAAAAACCCCATCTCCACATACCTTCTAACAATAGCAACAGGTAAACTGAAGACAGGGAGGCCAGTATCATCATCAGTTTTGCCATCCACCCTACAAGAGATTAAGTTATAGTTATTATTCCTCATATTAAGTTTCAATTTTTACTGATGCTATACTTGTTATCTCTTTATCATTCAGATAAGGCTGTATTTTTTCCTTCAGCCTGCTCTTTAGTACTTTTATTAACAAACAATATTTCTTCATGATCTTAAAGTCCTTTCCAACCCTAACTATTCTATGATTCTATGATGATGCAACATTAAGATAGTTCTTATATCACACATATACAGCATACTTGTGCAGATGTAGTGCAGGTAAAAATTAAATTAAAGGTAACATGCCAAAGCATATTCTTGTTTGCTTTATTCTATTAGAGAAAAAATACGCATTATAATTCTTTTCAGTAAGCTTCATGTGTGTGGATTCCAAAAGGATATTTTTTCTGACGTATATGAAAATTTCAAATAATAAAATATCATAAGCTGAGGTCTGTTGGTTTAAGAACAACTGCTACACTTAAAAGCCAAGGTAAAAAGGTGAATTCTAATTAAGTTTAAAAAACCATGCCTATAGATAGCTATTTCATTTCTGCAGTTTCCATTTATGGAAAACATGGATTACAGACAAATCAGGGTTTTTTGAAAATTAAAGTAAACTTTAAATTAACACTGAGGTACAAAGTATTTATACTGAAAAAAAATGCCATGTAGACCTATACAGCATGCAACCCAAGTATTGAAACTAGTTGTCTGGCCTACAAATACGCAATTTTTATATATAAAAGTTTGGGTCATAATTTGAGATATATATGTATATACATTTATAAACTTATTTTCATTAAAACCTGAAACTTTGATGAGAGAATATGCCATTAAACAGCTATTTTTTCATACCACATTTCTGTTCTTGCTACTTCATCAAACAACAGAAGACAAAGCAATACTGTAGTTTCAGTTAAAACAGCAGGATCATTTTGGAATATCAGGGAAGCTGAATGAAATAAAGATATTTAAAAACATGTTAGAAAACATAAATAGAACTGCATACAATGACACTGGTTAAAAAACAGTGCCAAGATCTTACAGATGCCACAACACAGGTAATACACACAGTGATTTACATTTTAGAGACTCTGAAGTGATCCAAGGCTCTAAGAAGGCTATTGGTTAAATATCTAACTGTATTTCACAGATCCCCTTTTCATGCCTGTATGAAACAGAACCTTTACCTCTGAATAGTGCAAGCAGTAAAGATGATTGCTGTGCTAAGGACAGACGAACAGCTGGATCAGCATACACAAGTTTGCGTAAGAGTGTTAGACATGGTAACACTATGGATTCCATAAGCTGCAGAAACAGAGAAAAGAATTAAGTACAGATAAAAGTATGATAGTCTATTATGAGATGCTTAATACAAACTCATGCTACGAAGCAATACATTCCATCATTTATAGTAAAATAGAAGGACATTTTATCCAGATGATAAATGCACATTCATTAGAAAATATTTATTCACTTCTGGTTTTATTTTATTAGTAATTGATGGCCATTTTACTGGGCTCTATCCTTGTAACACAATTATTAACATTTGCTTTCAAAATATGTATTTTTAAGTGGCATGTGAGCTGAAAGATTAAAAAACCCCAAATATTTACAAAAATGTAAGTTCATTAATTTATTTTTTTTTAAAAAGCAAATATGTTATTGTATCACATTCATTTTCTTTTAGATAAGGAAATCTAAGAAGGAAAAGCAGTCCGATAAAAATTAAATTATCAGTGACCAAAAACATGACCAAAGTCACTGTTCCTAACAATGTGAAGACACTGCGCCTTTTACAGTACCATTACTTTGCCCGTGTGCAGTTTTGCTTTTAAAATTTGTTTTGTAAACCAAATGAAGTTTAGTTTAATATTGAATAAACAAAAATGCTGCTTATTTAGTATGGAAAGTCTTTTGCACAACCAAATAAAAAGCCTTATTAAAACGGTGCTTCTTCCATTTCTTATTTCCTTTATTCTTTTCTTGGTAGCTACTTTTCTAAGAAAAGGAAAGGGGTTTTTTTTATTTAATTTTTTTGTTTGTTTGTTTTTCTTTTCGATTGATTTTAGGATGAAATAAAAAAAGTATCATTTAAGGAGAGAACCAGTATCTGGGCTAGATTCCTTCAGGATAGTGTCCCAATGACTTAATCAAACATACATGGTCTTTCTTTGACCTAATGAAACCCTCACTACTTTTTGTTTAAACTAAGCTATATCAACACAAGAGATAAGTAGTGCTCCTCAGAGCTTGAAGAAACTAAGGATGGAACTTCTACTGGTTGTGCTCAAGAGACAGGAGTAAAACTACTTAGTCTGCAGAGGAAACATTTTACAGTTATTTTACAGAGCAGAGCATTTGGGATCCAAACCTTCTATCAATACAGAGCTGACAAATTTCTGAATGCTTGCACTTGAAGTGAAATTTTGTATACAGCTGTCAGCTTACATTCTCCTGCTGACTTGATCTAAACCCTTCATTGTTCAACATGTGCCCTTTTAGACTTCTCCTCCTAAATACTCTGGAGCTTCCAACATGTAAAGTTTGAACATCCTATTCAGTATAAGGATCTTACATTCCACAAGCCATATATGCAAAAGAAAGGTGTCACAGGCCCTTAAGAGTTGTTACCTGTGCCCTTCCTGGATGTTTATTATAGTTTTGATAATGCTAAGATTCTCTTAATGAAAGAAGATTGATTTGCCAACCTATGAGAATAGTTAGCCAGAAAACTAAACGTGTTTGGTGTAGTTCCAAAATGTATCAGAACTTCCCTGAAGCTCTCTCAGTAGAGACTAAAACCGAAAAATTTCACGGCCTTAAAAAAAAAAAAAAAAAAAAAAAAGTTACATCGCATAGCATACTGTCATACTGTTTAAACTTAAGTCCTGAAGCAAATTATAAGTAAAAATGAGATGTTCTTGTAAATGGGAATCTACATGTCAGATTGAGTTTCAGGTATAAGTAATTTTCTGACCAATATAAGATCATCTCACCAGGGAAGGTGTCAGGACAAGAGTGTATATTTGTGGTAGATGGCTAAGCTTCACATTTTTGCAGTAAATTTGTTACTGAACATTTGCATTCCGTGCCGTATTAACACAAAGATTAGTGTTATAAATGCAGAAAAAGGCAAATTTTATTACTGTTGTGCTGTGCAATGATTGCAGAACTTGTCACAGTATTTTTACCTTGCCATCTACATGTATACAGTCATTAAGGTAAGCCAGAATCTTTTCTATCATACCCAACTTTTTCACAATGCCATGCATTTTGGTATCTGCAAGAAAAACAGAAGATAGTAAGAATCACTGGTTCTGCAGCAATTTAATACTAAAATTCTTCCTGGAAAATCACAAACTTTTGCTGGTGAGAACAAGTTTCCAAAACTGGCAGTCAAGAGAACAAGCACAGCTCTAGCTCTATGAATGCAAGCCTCCTCAGTCTTGAACAGCAGACTCTCAAATAACTTGGATTACTTTCCGTAAGAACTTCATGTTCCACAACTATGGTGATCCCCAGGGCAACTCAATTTCAGTCGAACGAGGACAGTAGTAGACAGTAGATATTTCCTCATTCTTGTGACTATTTTGTGACAAGAAAAGTATTAATTTTAGTATTATCGGAGACTTCACCTTCCTACAGCGAAAAACTTACGTTCCATCATTATGATTTGAGTTCCTTAAACAAAACATACTTGAATCAGAGTTTAAGTAGGTAAAGTACAAACATCCAGGTTTGCAACAATAGTTATGACTCTGCACAGAGTCAAGTAATGCTCTATTCAGGATTGCTTATTTGCATCTTAATTCAACCAGATTTTCTTCACTAGAATTCATATTTTTTCCCCATGCAAGTGACAGAATTATAAAAAAACACCTATGATGTAAATTTATGATTTTAGTCACTTAAATCATAAAAAGTAAAAGGAGGTACACTTTCCTTGTGAACATATTAGATGAAATGCCACAGCGAGTCTGCCTCTTGTTATTCACATACAGTATAACAATGGAAGCTTAGCTTGCGTTTACTGAACTCTCACACAAATAGCATTTCAATTCATTTTAACTGTACTTAGGCAGGAAAAAAAATGCAGGAAGAAATTCAGAATGACACAAGAAATTCTTCGCTAAGTATAAAATTATATTAGCTAGCCTGTGTAATCTAAGAATTAACACTATTTCTATTTCTTGTTCTTGAGGGATACAACAATGAATAACTTTTTTTTTTTTTTTAACTTAATAGATCATCCACAGTCGTGTTAAAATTCTGGTCCAACAATATACATAAAAATTACAAAGAGTGCCCTTAGCACAAGGATATAGAAAACACAGCAAAACTGCAAGCCCATGCAATGATCACATGCACATGAACACAAATTTCCTGAAAAAATTTACCTTCTAAAATGATTGCTAGCTGCTCAGCTGCAGACTTTCGTAAAACGAGGTCAACAGCATCAGAAGTCAAGATATCATACAGCTTTTCAACAGTTTCTACCTAAAAGTAAAACTGTATTAGATTTATATCCAGCACACTACTATAAAGCAAGGTAACTAGCTAAATTTCCTAACAGAAAGTAGAAAATAAAAAGACCCAATTTCCTCATTAGAATATATTTGATTAGATTCCACATGCATGTAATAAGAAAGGATTAGTTTATAATCTTTTTAAACAAATCTCTAACACCTGTGGAATATAACAAGATAATAGTTTCTACTGCACAGATTTCTAACAAAAAATGCTTAATTTATGTAGGACTACAGAAAGTTGTACAGAAAGTACAATACTACACAGAAAGACTAGAATATACTTTTAAGTCTGTGAAGGGGACTGACCTTTTTAATGACAATAGAGATAGAGAAATTTAAATAATGCTACATATCTATACAAATTTATGTCCTAAATTCTTGATAGTATAATTCAAGTGTACAAGGAGCTGTCAATTTTTTTTTCAGGTGGCCAGCATCTTAGCATTTGCTTAACATGTTGTTGTTAATCTAAAAGTTTTGAGGATAAAGAAGAAAGGAGCATGGAGGGGAAATGGTAAAAACTGAAAAACAAAAAAGTAAGTTTTCTGATAGGTCAAATACTTGCGATTTATTTTTCACTTTGCAAAAGCAGCAACATTAAGAAAACAGTCATAGTTCGTAATCTGTTCTAGAATATTTCATATTCAGAATTTGTGTCTAAGTAAAAATTGACTTTGTGGGGAAAAAAATTCTGTGAGAAAAAAATCACTCTCTCCATGTACAATGAAATTATTGTAAACAGAGGAGGCCTATGGTCTCTGTACACAAGTCTTGCTGTTAACAGGGGGCAAAGGGGTGGGAGGAGGAATTCCTTTCTTATTGTTGCACATGGTAACATAAAAACTACAGTGTACGTTCATACAGGAAGAATATATCAATGTATTTCTTACTATGCAGCAAGCCAATTTGTATGAAATACTGCAACCTTCTCAAAGTGGTAACTTCAGTGACTGAGCAAGTAGAAAAGCTGATCAAGCATAGTACTTCGACAGTTTACTCACCTTAAATATTGACTCTGTTTTATCATCCAATTTTAGCTCAATAGCTCTATCTATAACAAATAAGTTTGAAATGCTGGAAAGCACACTACCATGCAGATGCGGGCGTTTCAGGTTTGCCCCCTCTTCATTCAAAAGATGGAACGTCAAATGTTTAAGGGCTACAGAACGAACCCTAAAGGAGTAAACAATTAAAATAAATACATAAAGTCCTCATACTGGAAAACTTTAGCTGTATAGTAAAAGATTAATTAGATTATAGAATTAATACAGTGGCAGATGGAGTACTTACTAATTCAATATTGATTAATATAGCTTTTGAATCAAACCACTGCATAATAATCAGTTGGATTTTTAGAGAAGACATTTTTGTCATGAACATTAGAAGACACACTGAAATGCTACAGGGCACTACTTACAACTGCTTTTTTGAGAAGAGAAGACGCAGAGCAGCTCGTAGTCTAGTAGTTCTAGGGAGAATACCCTCTCCTTTCTCGGAGATTGTGTCACTCAAATTGAGGATACAGTTACCTAGCGTATCTTTTATGTCAGCATAACCCTAAAACAAATAAAAACTTCCAAAATTAAAATCCACTTCCTAACTTAGCAAAATAGACAAGGTAGTTCCCCTTTTAGAGGCTAAGAGAGGTTGGGGAAGCAGCAACACCTGGGAGAAAAAAAAACCTAATAATCCTTACGAAAACACGCAATTTCTGCAGATTAACATTCCTCCATAAAAACAATTTTAAAAATTAATGAATGATCCTGTATACAAACCAAAATAAAGATTTTTACATGGCTCAGAGGTACTTTAACCTGAAGCCTTACCCTTCAATCTGTTAACACAGTGATGCTCTATAATGCCAGTTTCCATTTCAATATATAAAATAAAATAAAAAAGTCCCTACAAGGAAATTGCTTCACATTAAAATTTATCCACTTCCAGATATTTCATCAAAGCATTTTCACATACAAATAAGACAAACCAGAATCAGTTACATCAAGTAATGATACCACAAACATTTAAAACATAGAGTAAGATACAACACATTTTATATGCATCAGGTAAATACAGGCCTCTGGTATGCTGTGCTCAAGTATCTGTTGTACATAGCCAATACAGATTATTAAGTAGAAGAAAATTCTACTCACAAAAATGAGAGCAAGGATAAATTCTTTCTTGTTTGTTAAGTCCACAACTTAAATTCCCCCCACCCCCCCCCATTCAATCTTGAATACTAATGGAAGATATGTAGGTGGGTAACACAGAAAAGCTGACATTACTGGGCAAGAAAGCTCTAAGTAACCTTTGTCCCACTACTTTAAAGTTCTCAGTATATTTTCTCTGCATTAATTTTCTGTCTGAGCCTTCTGTTTCATGACCTATCTTATTTACAATATCTCTCCATTTTTGCCTCAATCTTTGTGTAGTTTATGTAAAGGTATGAAGTCATATAAGCAGTTTTTTCAACTTATAGTAATAGTGTGGTGGAGGCAACAAATGAATATATAGCAGTGATACGAATAAGTAGGTATAACTATCAAGGGTGATATTTTTGGAGAAAACGAAGACAAAAAGTATGCTTGGATATATTAGCCAAGTCAAATAAGAGACAGAATTAAAGCAAGAAGACAGACATCAGGAATGACAGACATCTGATAGGTGCATCAAAATATCTAATCTGGAAGATTATAGGCAAATAAAAAAAGGGAAATTTCTAGCACCAGAGAAAAAATGGTAAATAATCTGGATGGAGCAATTAGGCTGAAAATCAGACCAAGAAAAACACGAGTTCCCATTAGATCAAGCTGAGACTCAAAATAACAAAAAGAAAATTTGCACGTTGTTACAGATATGAAGACTAAGGTGTAAATTTAACACTGTTGATACTTCTATAATATTGGAAACAAGAAACAAAAAACAAGTATCAAAATATACAGAAAATACAGCTTACACCTCTTGCTATTTATTGGGTGCATACTTGATCATAAAATTATATAATCATCGCAGAGGAGTTATAATTTAAGATATGAGATACATTCTAATTATTAGCTAGTTTTAAAAAGTATGCAATGTTTTAATCTATAATTGGATTATCCACCCATATCTTCAAGTTATTTAAGTCCCAGTCAGTACTTGCTGATTTCTACGACGACATGTCAAAGTTTCACAGTCCAGTAATATCAGGCTCAAATATGTCTGCAAATTCAAAGTAGTAACTGTGACTGGCATTGGGCCCTGTATAAAACATTTCTCCGTTTGACATCCAACAAAACAAGTCTGTAGGCATATTACTGTTAACCTATTTTTCATCTGCTACTTTGTGAATATTCTGTTTGTTGTTTAGCATAATAGTGTTGTTGTTTACATAACTTCACACAACAAATTCAGACAAAGTGTTTTGAAGTACCTGTAAAACAGGAATGACGGGATGGAGGGCCTCAATGAACTTGTTCCAAGTCAGTACTGCCATTACTAATTGTCCCTGTAATAAATGCATCAGAATGGCCTTGGCTGTCGAGTTCACCTGCTCAGTAACACAAAAAAAGAAACTAATGCAACCGCTTAAGTGTCTAGGTCAGTTTGTCAATCCTGTGATTGGAAACTTTATATAAAAATATCCTTTCTCTTTGAGATGTTTATATACAAAGCATTGTCACTGCAGAATGCTACTTTTAAATCGTCATTCACACTAAACATTAAGTTATTAGAAAAGCCTCTCAGATAAGACACACAAATAGTTCTGCCTAAATAGCACTTAATTATTTTCCCCTTAGAATTCTGGTTTGTCTGTTCTGAAATAAAAGAAATCACTACTTCAACTTATACACCTATTGGATCCACTATCCTGCAGGTAAAATAAATTATGGTTCATTTCTTTCCTGACCATATATTTCATTCCCAGCCTTTATGGTATGCTTTGATATGCTTCTGAAGATACAGGAAGAAAAGAGGCTTGAAGCCTGTTACATGACAATTTCACTTGCTTGAGGCAAACAGTCAAACTAAGAAGGTTACCAAATATTTCAAATTGTACGTGGATTCATCTGAAGCTCTTTATCAAAAAAAGAGAAAAGGTATATGATGTATATGATACACCACTTATACTGTATTAATGTATCCAGTGTACAGTACATAATGTATACTATATGCAATATTAAAGTATTTAAAAGCTAATATTACTGCAAAGGGAACAGAAGGGGAAAAAAAAAAGTTTCTCTGAATTCACTCTTCCTTAGACTAACAAAAAGAATGCATTATAAGGTAAAAAGAACAAAATGAGAAAATTTTGTAAACAAGCATTCTTTGTCTCAACAATCTTTTTAAATTCACTATGAATGGAAGTCTATTTGTTATGCTCAACCAATCACTAAAAGAGAAAACTGCCAGTCTTTTAAATAAGGCATCCAAGGGAGTAGACAAAATAAATGCTTTCCTTGAAAAAGATAAATTACTAACACATACACAGTACATTATCAAAAGGTACTTTACTCCTTTCAAAAGTACCTTATTAAAAGGTACTTTTACTCCTTTTAAAATGCTAAAATCTAAAAATTCAATTCTAAATGGAACTGTGCACAATACTGTGCTACAAAAAAAATTTTCATTTTAGGAGACACGCAAAAAAAAAACAAACAAACAAACACAACCAAAAAAAGTTACTCAATGTTCTTTCCCCTCTGACTGTAGGGACCTTATAGATCAGCTATAAGGTAGTTACAAACTTAAGTAATTTTTTACCTCTCTCAGAACTCCCTAATTAGCTATATATGTAAACTAGGAAATAGCAGATATATGTTAAGTGTTCATGGATATAAATCCAATGGAAATTTTACCCTATAATACTGTAAAACACTTCTGTAATACTCAGGTAATTAAACACTGATGTGTTTGCAGTGATGAAATACATTTTCATATTGAAGACATTGCATATTTATAATGTCTTTTTGCTCCTTAACCAATGCACAAATTTCAGACATCATTCCACCTTTACAAAGACTTGAGACTTCCCATTTTCCATAAATGGAAAACACCATACATACTATTTCACCATATGCACATTTTATTAGGGCTGAATATGTTACAGGAAAACATTAGAAAACATGGCTTCCTCATTTTTCATTAGTCTTTATTACATTCAACAGCATCTTCTGCCTATAACTTCTTTTGCCTCCGAATTCATCATAAAAAAAATATTTCCATTTACTGTAACTTCACTGTTTGCACAGCTTTTCTATATGCAAGAAACTACCATAGTCAAAACTTCAGGTAAGCCTCAGACCACCATGGAGAATATCAATACCTACTCTGCATGCACATCAACTTATAAATATAGCTACTAAACACAGTACCTTATTCTTATCTTCCTGAAGGCCAAACGTACAGATTTCATATAAAACTTTCGGATGAAGAAGAAAATGTATTCCGTGGCAGACTGAAGACACAGGCTTAGTAATATTAGGAATACCTAAACAGTCCTTCAGTAAAAATAAAGTTGGTTAGTTTCAAAATTCATAAAACAAAAAATTCAAACACTCTCCACTACTGCATCTTGTTTTATAGACTGCCTGAAATTGTCTGCCAGGCTTTCTCCATGCAGTCTAGAAGACTACAGTTCTCAAAACCCTGGAAGAAACACCAACTTTATAGATTACTGACTGAAAATTTCCTTGCTATGCAGGACTAAGAAAAGCACAAAATAATTTAGGTTTTATTTTAAAGAATAGTGAAAATAGACTAGACAAACTTAATATGCTTCTTGGTATTACATTAAAATAAGTAAAACCTAAAACAGACACGTAAAAATCTCACAAAGAGATGCAAATGTCATCCAGTAAAGATAGTTTTCTTGTGAAAGACTAGCTCCAGCATCTTTGCACATTAGTGAATTGTGCTATAAGCACAGTAAGTTTAGCTGATGTCCATTAGAGAAAATTATTATTAGCTCCAACCCTGGCGGTGTTCAAGGCCAGATTGGACAGAGCCTTGGGCAACATAGTTTAGTGTGTGGTGTTCCTGCTCATGGCAGGGGGGTTGGAACTAGATGATCTTAAGGTCCTTTCCAACCCTAACTATTCTATGATTCTATGATCTTAAGGTCCTTTCCAATTCTATGATTCTATTCTATGATGATGTGAAAGCTTTTATTTTGTGAGCCAATATTACTGAATATGAATGAATATGACCTGATGGATATGACATTGCCATTCATCAAACAGAGTATAGCCATACTTTTAGGAAGTTCATATTCTTTATAAAAAATTAAGGCAGTGACAAAATATTCATATAAAACAAAAGCAAAAATAAAACAGCCCCACATTATTGGGTTATTTTCCTTCAGTAAACATCCTTGTAAAAAGAAGAAAACCAGTCAACACAAAATTATTTTTGCCCAGGTACCCCTTAACAAGTGGGTCCATGTGAACCTCATGAGACCTGTACAGGTCTCACAGCATGTAACACAGTATTTGCATTAAAAATCATGTAATAGGCATTATTCAGCACACCACCAACAGTATTGAGCAAGCATTAGTTCTAACCTTAACCACTTCCAAACAGCAGTGATAGGCTTCAGCTTTTATATTCAGCGAAGGATAAGACAACAGATGGAGAAGCATCTTCTGACCCTCAGCCTGGAGCAATGAGTTAGCCTCAGCAGACTTCCAACTACAAATGAAAAATAATTACTTTAACTATTCCTTACTTTACAGTACCCAAAGATGCCTACAAAAATTTTCCTGTTAAATTTCAGCATAATCTCTAAAAATACATCCTGAAAAGGTATACTGCCTGAAAAATTACTTGACAGAAGTTCAGAGATCACAATATATTTGCCAAAATCATAATATCAGTCTTCACTTTTGTACATTTATTTTTTTTATACATACAGGTAATCAGAAACTATAGTTTTTAAAAATTCTTTCTTCAGAATTAGGAGCCTGACAAACATTTATGTTCATCTGAAAACATAAAATTCTATTGAGCTTCAATATGCCCCTTAGATCACAGTATACAATTACAAAAAAAAAATTCTATGCCTTCAGAATTTTTTTCCTTTTGGATGTAAGTCCATCTCACTATCACAAAGTGAATTTATGTTAGTTAAAATGTTGAAGTGAATTTCCTGTTGCCTGAAGCAGTAATCAAACAATAATTAATTCTAAAAGGATTAGAAGACTGAAAAGTGATTTGATGTTTCATAATTTAAAAATACTTACTAGAGAGCTCCTAAATGTAGTTTCAATTGAAAAAAAATCCCTAAAGTCAAATTCTGAATCAGTATAAAATTAAGATTTTTGTATTTCTAATTAAGTGTTCAACACAGAACATTTCCAGGCACCACAGGGTAACTTAAATTCTCAAACTAGAGGCATAGAAAATCTAAAAAGCAATAAAAACATGCTGTTTAATAAATGAGATACCATATTGTAATATAAAACATCTACAATAAAATAAGTTCTTCAGAATTTCTGAAAGTAAAATAAAAGTTGGAACAGAAGAACTTTTAAAAGTTTCAAAGACAGGTCAAAGAGTTTTAAGACTCTTTCTTTGTAAATAACATAGTAACTTTATCTACATAAAAGCTGATACAGAGAAAAGAATAAAACAGTTTTTTAGCACCTGAAATTCAATTTTCAAGAAACCTACTACAGAATGACACAAATTATTTAGAGGACACCTTTCAATGGCTAGAAGAAAACAATTGTTCAAATACAACGAATAAACAAATTGAACTTCTACTTGAGAAACTTCATCCATAAAAGAAAGATTGTATTTACTCAAGTAAGAGTTTTAAATAGTAATGTACTCACATATTTGAGCATATGTGAATGCATTCCTGAAGCAAGGGAAAATGTTGATGGTAGGGTAGACTACTCAAGGCCTGATCTGCCAATTCTACTAATTCAGAAAGATTCTTGTCACCCTGAGAAGTAAAATTAAGAGAAAGAAACTATCAGAATTAGTAATAGTAAAGTACACATTAATCACAATCTTTCCAAATTTATCATCATTTAATAATGTACTAAGTGGGGTTTGGTTCAGCCTTTCATAGAAGTTTATAATTAACCTGATTAACAAATTCAATAGATTTCAAACAAATGAATTTTAGAACCTACTCTTGGGAGCTGAAAAACCTTCAGCTGCTGAATCCAAATAAACTTCTATTAAACTCAATAAGAATAACATATCTAACATTTTACAGCACGAATACTGTAACCCTATTCAAAACACTTTCTAAAATGATTAAGTAGACTCATCCTTGAGCACTTTACGCTTTCAATCAAATGATTATTTTTTAAAATCAACATGCATTTTATGTGAGAAGAGTATAATGAATATCTTCTTTAACTATTACTCATTAATAATAATTATTACACTTAAGTCTGTTGTTTGGGTTTATTTTTTTAAATATAAGTACATATGCCTTCATACTCTTGGTTAGCAAATACATTAAACTGAGTCATTTAAATTTGTTGGAGTTAACTTCATTGTAAATAGCATTTTACAAGCAAAGTATTGCTTCTATTAAGTTCAGAACCTGCCTGCATAAAGGACAGATTAACTCAGATTTAAGATAGCACTACGTTTATATTGCTACATTTTATTAATTTATTTTAGTATCGGTGGAACCAGCATCTTGCACTATTACTTTTCTAAGGGAGAAGAATATTTTGGTACCATGCTAGAATCTCAACAAATAAAGCAAAATATATTAGTTGTCTTCATAACAAAGTGAAACACACAAATCTCAGAGTCTGGATGTAGTTATTAGAGCTACAATTGCCAACTGGGAATTAAAATTTTCTGAACTATTCAAATACTGAACAACATACATACATGCACATATATACACACACTTAATAGAGTTTTTGCTTCTTTGTTACTTCTTACTTCTTTGCCCATATGAAGTTTTGTGCTCACTTCCAGTCTCCAAGTGTTTATTTCTTTGGTTTTACTTAGGATAAGATTTTTACAATCATCATGAGTTGTACTAGTGAAAACAAATATAAATTAACTACATCTTGCATGGCACAGAATATTCATGGATTTTCTTTGGCTATGCTAGACTATAGCTTTTACCACAGAGAAAGGGAAGTAGAGGAAAGAAACATGACTACAGGAAACATTTAATATAATAATTCCACACCTTCTTATGAACTTCAATCATAAAGCTACAAGTGCATTCAATTGAATGTGCAGCTTCTGAAGCTTGTTTATAAATGCTGTAGTTCTCAGTACTCATCTGCTCCAGATAGGCTGCAATGGATTCGTAAATGCTGGGGTATTCCAAGGAAAAGGACACATCCAGAGAGAGAATAAATAAAGCATTCAGCAAACTCTTCTGTAAAACTTTACTCGCCTTTGAAAAGGAAAATAACTGTCAGAATAACAGCCTGAAAACACAGTAAACCCAACATTTGCAGTTATTCAAAAAGCACAATCACCATGCTGTTACTTAAAAATTAAAGAAAGAACAATATATTGAATAAGTTGTATACAAAGAATTATTATTTGTTTAACTAAAAAGTGAGAGTTCATTAGATGTCAGTCCTCATACCAGTCCTGCAACTAGCCACAGAAGTTGCACATGATCCAGCCACAGCACTAACCACACACACGGCTGGCCAGGTCAATTTACTGTCTAAACACTAGATGGCAGAGAATACACAGACCACAATTATTTCTGTATTTAACAAAAAGTTGTCATTCAATAGTAACATCACATACTAAGAACTGGCATTTCTGTTGTTGGTTTGGGGTTTTTTTTACTACAAGTATTACAATATTTCTTTGATTAAAATTCTGACCTCAAATCCAGTAATTCTTTTTGCAACTCCTGTCACAGACAGAATTCAAATTTTGTATTACATACATAAAGACAAAAATTATAAAAAAATCATTATATTAATGTCTACGTCATTTGTAGGTACAAGAGACTATTCATATTAATAGTAAAAGACTTAATACTTGTGACAAAAAAGCTGTAGCTGAATATCACTCTGCTACTCAGAAATATGTCTAAAAGAGAGCTACACTGCTATAAAGACTAATCCAAAAAAAAAAAATCTAAAACCATACAGCCTTAAACACCTTCTAACACCTTCCATCCAACAAAAACTTCCAAATATCAGATGATGCCCCCCATCCGAAATAAATACAAAACAAACAAACTCAAGAGCTACAACAGAACTTTTTTTAAAGAGCACTGGAAGCAAAGAATAATTAAAATCACCATGATGTATGAAACATAATTGCTTACTATGTTCTAGCTGATTAAGAATGATGATTTTAAATATGTAATTCCAGGCTTGCTTAGCCTTGCTTGCATGCATACTATAAACGAGCAGGGGGCAGCACAGCTTTGCAAACCATGCATCATACTAGAAAAAAAACAACACTATAGGAGTAGAAAGAACATTGAATTTCAGAAACTCAAAAAACTGTATTAAAAGTGGAGCTTTTAAGACTTGAAATCTGCAGAATGCACTGATAACTGAAGAACTGACAAAATTGCCTTCCGTGATCATATATCACCCAAAGTAAGTCAGATTAATTTCTCTATCCAGTGGCTATTTTCCCAGTATTAAACATTGAGGAAGGTATCACTTTTTGACCTCTTAAATGCAAAACCAAAAGAGAATCACAACGACTTAAAATAGTGATGGCATACCTTTTCCACAGGGAGAAGTATTTGCAGTAATCTAACAGTGAAGAGTGAAATGCTAATAAATGCCATTCTGTGATGCACCAACATCACCTCGGGCTGCTCTGCACTTATATTGCTTTTGTGATATAATATAGTTTCCCCAAGCAAACCGAAGACCAGAAGTAATTTGTCTCTCTGAGAACAAAAATCAGAAATAAAGTCATTAGAAATAATTGACACATTACTCTATCTTTATAGCATTTATCCAGCACCCAGAGCGTCATTAACACAATTTACCAAATAATTTTAAAATGAAGAGATGGTACAAAATGCACAGCATTTTGTTTGTCATCTGAACAGAACTGTTCATTAGTTCTAGAACTCACTCTTGTCTTCAGTATAGTGCTGAATACTTTGGTGTCACTGGTTATTCTCTCCCTACATATCTGAACTTCTGGAATTTAAACTATTTTGAAGCTCATTTTTTATATGAAAATATTAGAAGCTGATTTGAACCTCCTAATAAAGCGTTACCCCCCAAAAAATAAAAAAAAAAAAAAACAAAACAAAAAAACCCCAAACCAAACACCACCACCAAAAACACCCATCACAAACCACAATCCAAACTTTGAGAACATCAAATATTTTTTATTCCTATTCATTCTCAAAGGAAATAGCACATTTCTCAGAATCACTACCATTTGCATAAATCTAGCTCACCGACAGTAGAGAAAACAAAATTAGTTTATATAATTTTGGTCACCTGAAAAAGTCAGATTTGTAGTTAAGGACACTAGAACAAAGGTAGAATTAATTTCAGTTGCCAGTTTTGGAATGAAAAATATTGATTAAGAAAGCAATAATTCATGTAACATTAATCTTATCAATTCCAGAAACTGATAGTCACTGTTAAGTAATTAAGCATTATTTATCTCAAAACAGTTGAATAAATAAAACGACAAGAAAAAATTGACTAAAGCAAATCAGTCTTTTAAAGTAATTATAGACACACATTATTACACAGCAAGATGAAAAGGATTAATTTTCATCTTCAGGAGTTCAAAAAAGCAAGTTTGCTACAGTTCACAGAGGCAAGAAGTGCCTCTGCTTCAAGATCATGGCAGTTTCAACTCAAAAGTAAATTCAACAAGTTTATCCTTCCCCAAGACAGGGACGACTGTCTCAAAGCTAGTGATCAAAAAATGCTGAGAGGTTATGACAATTTGAGTATCTCACTTTCTGACATGGCAGAATCAAACTGCACTTAAGTACACATGACAAAACTGGAAAACAATAAAAATTTTACTTTGGAGGAAGAAAGCATTAAAAGCATAGCTAAAATACATACAGCTACAAACTTAAATATTTTTAAATGGAATTCCCAAAATACCTATTCTTCACAAAGATATACTAGAGCAGGGATTTAAAATACAATAAACAAAGAAACATAAAGCAATAAAGTTATGCAAGAAATGCTTTCAAGTTTCCTAGAAAGGAGACACATGACCTCCTTCCCTTGGAGCTAATACAAAACACAAAGAGGAAGCATGTTTTCTAAGCACTGAAGCGTTAACAACTCTGAAAACACAGTCTACTTCTGATAAAAGACATTTCATTTGATATAGCACTAAATAATGCATGGGTAAGTTTAACAGTTGTTTCTTAAAATTGTTCAATCAGTTATTTTTACTTACTCAAACACGAAGACAAAAGAGAGGTTTTTCTATTTCCTGCCTTGCAATTGCTTTATCAAAATTAGCTTTATTGAATCACACTGCACAGTCTAGGTCTGCATCACAAATTGAAGCAGATTCATAACTTTCAATGGGAGGTCAATTTTATATCTGAAAAGTATTTCACTAAAAAAATCTCAAAGGTCTACCAATGGAACAAAGTTGTATCAGCATATACCCCCTTTTTTTTTTTGAAAAATCGATACAGCTGTATACAATCACTCAGCTTATTTGCAGAGTTTTGCTTGTTAATGGCCTGGAAACAAACATTATCTTACTAACAATGGTCAGCATGATGTATATGTGATGATGCTTACAGTTTCTACTGCTGTTAGACAGGTTTACCTGCAATGGAACATACTGATGTCAATCATACAACAACTACATGAAAGATTAAATTAAGTTTCTTATATTAAGTTCTGCAAAAATGGATACCATGTATTTTACAATTCCAGTCTTGGACCTACACAGTTACCTCCCTAATTTTAATAGTTTATAAGGAGTAAAAAAGTGAAAGTTGTCATTTACATCAAATTGGTCTCCTCATTTGTAGTCAGTGGTTCTCCCCCAGATCTCCCTCCCTACACTTGTTTCTCTCGATGGCTGCTTAACAGCCTTTCACTACAAGACAAAATTAATAACTTATTTTCTTGAGGTGAAACATCAAGTATCATCTAGTAAAAAAACTTACAATGTTTAAAAAATAATGAGTGATAGAACTAGTAATAAACTATTTAAGATTTTCAAAAGGGTAGCTCAGCAGAAGATTAGATATGAGTATGAATCACTTTGGAAAATGTCAGAGGCTTATAAAAGCAGACTGTTAAATACGGCTGATCAAAGACTAAAGACTCTTACCAACTCCAAAGCAAAAAGGCTATCATCTTCCCAAACATTTTCAGAAATAGCATCACCAATAAGGAACATGTCTTCAACAAGCAATTCAAGAACTTCCATAGTCACTCTCTTACTGCCTGGGAATACAAATGAGAGGATAAATTCAAATAGAGGCAAAACATATTATGATATTCAGAAAACACCATTTTGAACAAGGGATTATTCCAAATCTGGAATTCTGATATTTTAATTTTCCTACACACTTCTACTAAACTACTGCTAACTGCCCTCAACCACCAATAGCTCTGAATCATAGAGGACAATAACTAGCCAAAAATCACGATGCAAGATATTAAAGCAATCACATATTTGAAGAAAGACTGCATTTCCCCTAAATCCAACAGCAGTACATAAAATTTATTACAGCTGTAAATCCAGTTACTTGGACTTCTTTAAAGTTTAGGATAAAGTCACTTATCGCTCCCACCCAGAGAGCTAGGCTATGGATCTGCCATGCTTATTAGCTCAATATGAGCTGGCTGTGTGTGCTTGCAGCCCAGAAAGCCAACCACATCCAGAACAGCACCACAAGGAGCATCACCATCAGGTCAAAGGAGGTGATTCTCCCCCTCTACTTGGCTCTTGTGAGTCTCCACCTGGAGTACTGCATTCAGCTCTGGGGCCCCCAACACAAGAGGAACATGGACCTGCTCAAGCAAGTCCAGAGGAGGGCCACAAAGATGATCAGAGCTGGAGCACTCCTCGTATAAAGACAAGCAGAGAGATTTGGGCTTCTTTAGCCTGGAAAGGCTCTGGGGAGACCTTAGAGCACCATTCCAAGTACCTAAAAGGGGCCTGTAATGACAGGACAAGGGGAGGTGGCTTTAAACTGACAGAGGGGAGATTTAGGTTAGCTATTGGGAAGAAATTCTTTACTGTGAGAGTGGTGAGGCACTGGCACAGGTTGTCTATAGAAGTTGTGGCTGCCCCATCCCTGGCAGTGTTCAAGGCCAGGTTGGACAGAGCTTTGAGCAATCTGGTCTAGCGGAATATGTCCCTTCCCATATCAGGGGGTTGGAACTATGTCTTTAAGGTCTCTTCCAACCCAAACCATTCTGTGATTCTATGATATTACCTATCCCTGTTAATCTGCATTTTTGATATAGCAATAGCGGTTTTCATCACAGATTATTTTGTTTGAGATTTTCTTTTTAAAGGCAATAAGATGAATACCCACTTCAAACACTTGTACTTTTCTTCATAACAATTTCTCCCCCACCCCCTTCTTTAGGCCAATATTCATTGATTTTCATTGCTCCTTCTGAATCAGTATCTTTTAATAACAAACAAGGCTAATCGGGTCTATTTGTGACTTTTATACTCTTTACAGTTTTATGCTTGAATAGAAATCTGGACCAAGCCCAAACATTTACAGCCTACATTTACTACAAATATAAACCTCCCCCTAATGTCCACAGATAATGAGACAATAGAGGAGAAGCAGTCAAAGGCTAGAAGGTTTCATGAAGAACAAGGCAGAATATCTGGAGCCAGACCAAATATTTTCAGCATCATACAAGAGAGGATGCCAAAACTGTCTGGCATCCTAGCACATCATACCGTGACAGTTTTCCCCAAATACTCAATTTAGTGCAAGTGTTGGCTCAGTTACTTGTTGATGGTATGTTTCTATTTAAAACCATGGATGGATTTCACACACCACCACTGAACTTCCAATTTATTCTTTTAACTACCACTAAAATTTTGCATCCTTCAAACTCTTCAAAAAAAAGTAAAACCAAAATACTGCTTATTATGATTGAACATTAATTTATTGTCTTTTCTATATTTTGTAGAGTTTATACACTGTAGAAGCCTTGTTGATATACCTGAGGAAAAACATATATGTGGTGTGACTAGATAGGTAGTTACAAAGACAACAGCTCATGTAATTTGTAGCCTAAGTGATCTGCTCTGAGTAAGCATATGGCAGGGAATGGCACAAGGCCTTTTTGAAAACTTGCTTTTCCTAGCTCACAGAAGCGCTATTTTCCATTTATTTTCGACAAAATGTTGCCAATTTAAAGAGTATATGTCCAAAAACCTTCTAAAAGCACTTTTTCTCTCTTCTCAGCTATTTTCAAATTATTGATCAAATTTCTGCAGTTAAAACATTTGAAAGGTGACTTCATAAATTTCTCCATTGCAATGCAAGTTTTAAGTAATGGTGGTTTTAATTTGAGTTACAGCTTCAAAAACTATTAACTATTAAGTTAATAACTAAACATAATGTCTGCAACGCTTTGCTGTAGCTGTCATGATCTACAGACATGCAATTTCATTCCACCATACTCTTACATGAATGTATCAGCAAAATACTAATATTTCACAACATACAGTTAGTATGTGCTAAGAGTTCCTTATTACTAAATGAACAGTAAGACATAATCAGTGACTGTAAAACAAATCTTTTACTGTTCAGATTTAAATAACTGTCTTTAAGACTTGCAGTATTAACAGTGAACTTCAGACAAGCATGGCAGCTTAAAATAGATCACAAAAACCCCACAGTTAAAAAACCCACACCAACCCCAAACCAAAAAACCCACAAGCCACACCACTATTGATTTCTGAAATGATTTAACTCACAAGACAGGTCAGCACAAAGGAAATCAAATTTCAATGAACTTCTCCACAAGAAACAGAATTTGAGCTTAACTGAAATATACATTATATTGTAAAAAACAAGCAAGCAAATTTTACAGTAAGTTTACTGCTTTTCTTTCACCCAGAAAGAGAAAATCTACGCTATACCATATAAGGTGATAATAATGTTTGTAAAAGTGCCTATTGATTTTACTGAAGAAAAAAAATCAGTAAATATAACCATATGAGAAAGTGTGCTACTGTGTGTCACTGTCTCACGCTATCACAGTGTGCCTTCAGATTACAATAGTTCAGATGAACAGCAACAGGATAAAAATATTAGTTTGCTTACAATCTGCATCATGTTACAGCTCAGTAGAAGAAAGAGGTATCATCGACTAGTTTGAAAAGTGTAAAAAAACCTGAGGGCAAGAGAAACAAAGACATAACAACTTCATCGGATAATTAAACTATTTTAGTTCTATAATAAGATGCAAAGAAATAATCTTGAAAGATGGAAAAATACACTGCATTTTAATTCTGCAGATTTGAAGTGATATGCACCAGAAATGGAAAAAAACATTTTCTGCAGTTTCACATTATAAGTAAAAGACAAGATGCCAGAAGTCATGAATGTGCTTGTGAAGAATTAACATCTAAATGTCACTATTCTGAAAAGGAAAAACCTAACTTTTATTAATTTTAGTTTTGTTTATTACCAAAAAAAACCAAACCCCAAACAAAAAACACAGACAAAAAAAAACACCAAAAAAAAAAAAAAAAGGATTGAGTAATTTTTTTGTGGACACAGATTAACCTTGATGTTACTATGAAATACACAAGTAAATTGGTGTTTTGTGACAGAACAGAAAGTCATAAAAAGTTATAAAAATATCATAAAAACAACAGTAAACGGAAGTTTCATATATATTTCATATCATTGTTATAAGTTAAAGCCTCTAGGCAGCTCAGGAAATGTTGACAGGTATATTAAAAAACAAATTTTAGTAACCTAGTCATAAATAGATACACATTTCGAGCTCCTACATTTGAAAGCCTTACCACATTTACCAATATCTGTTTTAAATTGCATTGGTTTACAATTAAATACCACTTTGGACAAACTAAGAGGAAACAGACTGTCCTTCAAAAAGACTTTGCAACTTAGAACCTAAAAAATCATTAGTTAGATTAGACTATCATTACCAAAGTTTCTTAAAACACATGTTACTGGATTCATAAGAATAAAACTAAACCTTTTTCCAGTTCTTTTGTTTATTATTTTTTGAACAGGAGGAACATGTTTGCAAAGTGTGGTTATTTTTTCATTTTCTTGAATGATATATTATCCAGCCACACATTTTTTCCACCAGATACCCACTTGTTCCTACCACTACTTCCCACCATCAGTAAAAACCACTCGAAACTTCTGTAGCCATTCTGAAAATCAATCAGAAGACTTATGACCTGAACAAAGTTCCTAGAAAAGAACTGCTGTAACTAGCTACAGTATATCAATAATTATCTGTACCTTATTTATTTGAGGTACTCACCTTATTATAGCAATTTCTTAAGAGGTTTGTACTAAAGATCGTAAGGATACATAAATAAATTACTTAAAACTTTCTTACCTGTTCTTAGAAGAGGTATTGCATTTTCCAAGATGGAAACACAGAACTGAGGAAGGCTAAGCTGCTTCATCTGTAATTCCAAAGTGTCCTCATATTCAATAACTGGTAGGTCAATATGTGCTACATCAAGTGGGGAATGCAGAGAGATTCTGGAGTTTGCATTTGCTTGAGTACTGTTTCCACTTAATAAACAAACAAAACAAATTAAAAAGAGAGACAGTTAACTCGCAAAGAGTAAACCCATATATGTATAGATGTTAAAAACAGCATCAAGTATTTTAATGTCCTCCTTCCTTAGTGGATATCCTTCCTTCCATCCCAACCTTTCTCTGCTACCCAAGAGCGCTGCAGTAAGAAGGGCATTTTGTTTGGCTGTTTTTTTAAAATGTCAGAACTGGTAGCATCACAAGTGAACACGTATCGTTTCGGCAATCATCTTCAAATGCACTTAGAAATGTGTAATGGACAAAATACACATGCAATGAATACAATGTTGCAAAAGAAAAATCAGTTGATTTGAAATGTTATTTTTGATGAACAGGGTCTATCAGTTGATTGAAGCAAGGTCACTTATGAAATCAAATGTCAGCCTGAACTACACTAAATCCATTCTATGAAGCTAGCCACAAGAATCCTGAGAAGGAAAATTAAGTGCACCCTATGTTTAAACTTGTAGGACTTCTTTGTCAACTGTAAAACAGAAAATATTCCCTTGCCCAAGAAAGCCTTAAGTGCAACCACGTATATATGACAAAACAAATATCCAGTTAATATATATATAATGATTTCAAATTATGATCTCTATATATAGTTCCTAATCTTACTATTTTTCAAGGGCTTTTAAAAAGAATCTTATTCTATTTGCAGCATTATAATTAATACAACTCAGAAAAAATGTTTTTAATGTTTTTTTTCTTATCGTAAACAACATTTAGAAATCTGGAATTGCTTTAAAAAACTGTAGAACTTCTATAGATTGTTTTATTTTTGTTTGGTTGCTTTTATTATTAAACAAGCTGAAGAAACTGAACTGTGGCATGACTGTGTTACATTACATTCTCTAACTAAATGTAAAAGATGTCTAAAGAATATCAGTTAAGAATTAAGAATTTAAAAGTCATGTACATTATGATATTTTTTATTCATCATGTTTTTCTTTATGCTGGGTTAAATTATACCTTCGTAAGAAATGGGGGATTCATGGGCAGCAAGCAGCTCTACTGCAGCACACAGGATGCAAGAAGATGAAAGTACACAGTTATGAACAGTTCGTAATATTACCTTATACTTTTAAGAAATTACCACACTCTGGTTTGTAAATGTTTCATCACAACCTTAACTGATGTTACTCTTATGTAGATTTCCTTACTACACTGATAGCCAGGCCAAACCTACCTCTTGCACAATATGCACAACTTGGGAAAATGGTCAGGTCCTAGAATGCATAAAGCCTGGAGTTCATTTACAGTGTCATATCAGTTAACGTAACAAAAATTTAATAATTAGACTTAAGATGAGTAAAAATAACCTTTTAATATAATGACTCTCATGATGTGCTTACGGTTAACTACATGAGCTATTCCCATGTGTAATATCACAGTCTATTTGAATACCTAGGAGTTATTCAATCACTAAGTCAATATACCACGGAGACTCAGAACTACCAATAAGCACACAGTAAGGATTCATAAGAACTTTAGAATTTCCACATACTAACAGATACTGGTTCTTGAACAAGCAGCTTTAAGTCTGTTATGTCAAGTTGAGTAACAAAACCACCCAGAAAGAAAAATATGAACATTTTGAGGGTATGCAGACAATTCATCATTTCATACTGAAGTCAAATTTTTAGATGTCAGATTTCACAACAAAGTTTGAAGACATTTATAGCATTTTTGACAATACTGTACACTGTTACCTATGAGACGGGCATGCAACTTAAAAGAAGTTATGGGGTCATCTGCTGGAGAAAAAGAGAAATCCTTGACTTTACAGTAATAGCCTGAATAAATGCTTTTCTGCATCTTACAAACACATGAACAAGCAATAACGATACTAAGAGATTTTGTTAAAAGTGTTGGTTGGGTACAGAATGTGGCAGGTAAAAATGATCTTGGATATTCTGAACATCACTTGAAGAACTGTGCTATTCATAAATATGGCTTGAATACTCACAGGTTAACAAAACTTTCACATAATCCCACACACTGACAAGGAGTTAATGATACATTCCTATAATAATACTTATTTCCTATTTTATCCACCTGGAAGATGCTGCATCCCAATCTTGACCATCTCCTCTAGGACGCTGAACAGTACGTCCAATCACAGATGGCCGGGGGCTACTACTTCCAGGTGATAGATTCTGAGAACGAGGAGGAACTCTTGCTTCTTGACAGTAAGATATAGATGAATTTTGGGAAGCTGTGCCTTTATGTAACACAAATCATATGTTTTCCGTTAGTGGAATCCATTATTATGAAAGATACTACATAGCGGTGTAATGGTAAAAGTAACTAAGGTAGGATATAGAAAACACCAAGTAAACATTGGTGAGCTAAGACAACCTACCACTGGCAAGTAGCAGAGTTTGGAAGCTCAATTCCAAGGCAAAATCACTGAAAATTAGAGCTGAATCATAAATCTTGAGTTTTAAAACTACAAACATACCATCTGACTAAGGCCACTGGATTTGTTTATATTGTAACCAAATTAGCAAAGAAACAGCCAACATCATTTATTAAGACACCAAATATAGGGGCTATCTTATGAAGACAACCAGACTACCAGTGTAGAGAAACAAAGTTGATTAATGGTCTTCCTATTTCCATTTTGTTAGCTTAATTTAATCTACACTATTAAAGCTACAAAATTTAAACATTAAAACATTGTGAAATAACTCTAATGACTGTAAAACAATGATTAAACTCTTTCTGATCATGAGCACAAAAAAAAATAAATAAAAGGCATTAATATAGCTCATGAAATTAGTAACTGAATTGTTAAGCACAGAGGCTTGAAAACTTTTCTGAAACTCTGCCCACTTTTATTTTATAGATTTCATTTAGGTTTAGTTAAAAAAAATCCCTCTCTTGGTGACATACAAACAGCTGGATACTGGGAAAAGTTGATGAATGAAGCATCACAGGAAACTGTAAAAACTAGTAAGTATTTTAAAATAATACAAGTACATGAATAGTACTGAACACCATCATTTAGCAAAACAGTTTCACAAGAATACATTTGCTATAATATTGTGGGCTGGCATTTTTTTTAAATCATTTCAGACAATCTTACCTGTAGGAAAAACACAACAGTATTTCAAATACCTAAAATAGCTACCTTGCTCTGTGGAAAAAAAGCTTGGATCTCTGTGAAAGTTAAGTCTGCTTCTCAGGAAGATGCACAACTGTTGCAGGCATGACACGGCCTGCAAAGCTAACCGATGTCTTCCATCTCCCCCAAAAGCCAGGTTTAGCAAAGATAAAAGGCTCTGCAGACATAAAACACACTGTTTAACGTAATTGTCAGCAACATGGACAGTGGGATTGAGCGCACCCTCAGCAAGTTTTCCAAAAACACCAAGCCGTGTGATTGCGGTCAACACGCTGGAAGGAAGGGATGACATCCAGAGGGACCTTGACAGGCTCGAGAGATGAGCCCATGCAAACCTTATGGCCAAGTGCAAGACCCTGCACCTGTGTCAGGGCAATACCAAGCACTAATACAAGCTGGGCAGAGACTGGCTTGAGAACAGCCCTGAGGAGAAGGACTTGGGGGTGCTGGTTGCAAAAATCTCAACACCAGCGGGTAGTGTGCACTTGCAGCCCAGCAAGCCAACCGTATCCTGGGCTGCATCAAATGATGTGAGACCAGCAGGTTGAGGGAGGCAATTCTCCCCCTCTTTTGTGAGATCTCATCTGGAGTAGTGTTCAGAACTGGGACCCTAACACAAGAAGGAGGTGGACCTGTTAGAGTGAGTCCAGAGAAGCACCACGAAGATGATCAGAGCGGGCTGGAGCACCTCTCCTATGAAAACAGGCTGAGAAAGTTGGAGCTGTTAAGCCTGGAGAACAGAAGGCTCCAGGATACCTTATAGCAGCCTTCCAATACCAAAAGGGGGCCTACAAGAAGGCTGGAGACAGACCTGTTACAAGGGCTGGTAGTAACAAGACAAGGACGAATGGCTTTAAGGTGACAGAGGGGAGAGCTTAGATATTAGGAAAAAAATCTTCACTGTGAGGGTGGGGAGACACTGGCACAGGTTGCCCAAAGAAGTTGTGGATGCCCCATCCTTGGAAGCGTTCTAAGGCCAGGCTGATGGGGCTTTGAGCAACATGGTCTAGTGGAAGGTATCCCTGTCCATGGTAGAGGCACTGGAAATAGATGATGTTTAAGGTCCCTTCCAACCTATTCTATCATTCTGTGAAAATCATTTACACTGGTAGCTGAACATTAATGAACCTTTGTGAACACTCACGCCAGCAAGACTCTTTCACTAAATACAAGTCACAAATGTTTAAATAGGCTTAGCTAGTGTTTTCTTACTGAATGCAAGACTGTAAGTCCTATGAGTTCCGTACTGTATCTCCAATAAAGTCACTATGGCTTTAAAGGCTCATTATATGGGATCCCATTACAGGGTGTGCATCTGACATTGACACAATTTCATGTTATTCAGATGAAACAAAGTATTTGCTCAACACTAATAATTAATTACTGATTACTCACATTATTACAACTAAGTAACTTTCTAAACACAATATATAGCTAATGAACCCTCTTCCATGCACCCAGAGTTTACATAAAGGAACTTTTGTCTAGCTATTTTGTTTGGAAACAAATTGTATTATTTACATCAATTCTTACTTGGCACAACTCATAGCACAATAAAACCCTTAAACTTTATGTGAATTCTTGCCTGTACAATCTTTGGCCTTTGAAGGAAGTTAGGAAAATCTTGCATAATCACATCCTGAAGAAGCTCACACGTACTCCAAATTAAACTTTGGTTGTTACTTCTCAAAGAGCTAAAAATGCAGTTCATATTTAAATATGTATTCAAACAAACAAAAAAGTGTAATAATTAGCTCGAACAAGTCTTTACAATAAAGTTGTAACACTGAAGACTGAAGAAAAAAAATACTATAGTCATATTGTCATACCATTTTTAAACGTGTATTATTCCTTAGGTATGCTCATCTTGTATACAATAAAGAATAAACCCGATTCCAGCTGTTATGAAACCATGTTAAATTAAGTTCCCAGAAAAGAAATATCTTTATTGATTCTGAATTTGAAATTAAGATAAAAACAACCGGAAAAATCCCTGTGAAGCTAGTGATTATCTCAGTGGTACAAAACAAGTAATCTAACTCTTACCAATAAAAAAGTTTCTTTCATTATTAAGGTTCACATATAACTTAAAAGTGCTTAAATAACATGTGGGAAGTTACATAAAGGAAGAGATTTATTAGCTATTATCTAGCATGTGTATCAGTAAATAACAAGAAGCTTTTGGGTATTCTACTTCACTTTTTTATGTTTTTATTGTTTCCAAAACTACGGGGTGGGGATGAAATTAAAAAAAAAAAAAACAAAAAAACAAAAACAGGTCCAGGTTGGTTTTTATATATGTATATATATACATATTTTACAAGAAAGCTTACAGTTAGCGTAGACTTGTTAAATACTTCAATCCATGAAACTGCCTTGCTGGCTATGCTAGAAATCTATCACAGCTCTGTGCCAATTCAAAAGGAATTCCAACTACAGTACTTTTCCTTGGGCTGGTTTTCTAAATGAAAGTTAAAATTAAAAAAAAATTAAATAAATAAACCACTGCAGAAAGATGATATGAATAACTCAATACCTGGATAAGGCATTGTACCTAAACTTACTGGCCTAAACCTAGTTAAGCTACTACTGAAAGTATGGATTTCTCTACCAAGTGGCTGTGGGGGTAAAGTAAATAATGATTTTATTCCAGCCTGCAGCAAAATTAACTGAATGAAATCTTTGATCCACTTGAGAAATTTAGAAGACAGACTGAAGTGTCATGAACAAAAATAAGAAAAAAAAAAAATCACCCATTAGGTCATTTACAGGAACAGACTAATGATGCAGAAGGACACAAATTTAGACCCACTCTTACCCAAGAAAAATAAAAACTATCAACAAACCATAATGTTTTTATTACTATACCTTTCATTTGATGAAAGAACATGTCTATCTGTTGAAGTCAGAGTTAGCCAAGGAAATGTGGAAAACTTCAAGCATTTCACTGCAAAAAAAAAAAAAAAGGAGCGGATATTTTGGAGTATATTTTATAGAAACATTATACTGTATATTTCCATGGCAAAGTCAAGAACTTATGAACTACATACTATCTGAAATAGAAAGACTTCTTAGTAAATACAGACTTACACTAAAGTGCTTCTAATGTGTTTTCAGCAATACCAAAAAAATACTAAGGTCATCTCAAATCAAAATGGCATATGTTTATTGAAGAAAGTTTTAGCAAATAGAAAAAGTGATAGCATCAGTGGAAGAGTACTCAATCCCCCACATCATGCTTCTAAATTATAATTTTGTTCTGCTACTAAAGAATATTTATTAACACAATCTCTGAAAAAAGAAATCTGACCTTTGCTCTTACAGTAGTAGAAATTATAGGTGTTACTAAATTATGATGCATAGTAACTTTTTAACTAACATAACTTTAAAGCTATTTTTAAGTTAAAGTTTATAAGAATTATTGTGCAATTCTAAAGATAGCTGACACACTACTCAAGAAGTAATCTGGTGATTTACATACAGTAACTGCAAAGTCATATTTTAAAATCTATTTCTCAGCATTGTATTCTATGTTAAATATGACACTCTCCTGTGAACTGCTACTAGTATATTGGTATATCTAAAGACTTGCCAAAATGTTGGTCTGTGTCTATGAAACATTTCATATCATTTTACTGACAAAAAAAAAATAAAAGCATAACACTGGTTTTCATTTAGATACAAGGTAAAGATTTCTAAAGCACCTAATCTACTTTTCTGAAAAGCAGAAAGGTACTTCAGACTAACTTTTGGTGAAATAAACCAGTAATCAAACAGCTACTTTTGATTATGGAACAGAGATCTTCCAAAAAGCATGAGCAATTTAAATAGTTTTTTAAATTACAACATATTTTAACATATTTCAAAGAGTTACACTATTTCCTAGAAAAGAGAGATGGAGATGAATGTCATTTTCATATGCATTATAACTGTAGTTTCTGTGATACTAGATTTCACAGAATAACAACAGGTAAATAGCCAATAATAATATTTATAATGGAATTCAATCTAAATTACAATTCTAACTACTTTCTGTATTTAACATATTCTTCTTCCATAACTACACATACCAGCTGTTCTTTTGGGAGGTATTTCTAACTGCGGCACATGACTTCTACCTTGACAAAAATATCCAGTGAATACTTCCTCTTGAGGCAGAACTAAAACACATAAAGAGTAAGTTTAAAAAAGTACACTAAAAAGAAAACAGCCAACCAAAAGCAAAAGTTAATTTATCAAAATGCTTTTCCTGAACTGCCTCCCTTTTGCCCTTGAGTTTTAACCCATTATGGGAACAGTTTTAAAATAGTCTTAGATGATCAGGAAAGTGGAGTAAAAAGAATGTGTCAATGTTTATTTTTGCCAGTCATACTCTGCAACTGTAAATTTTTTCCCCCCGTTTTCTTATACTACCTTCCATACCATACAAGCAATAGCAAAAAATAATTACACAAAATGTATTACCCAGTGGAGAACTGGCAGCCAAAAAAAATATTTTGCTCTAATCTACCTACGTAGCAATAAAATTAACTTTTCAAATCAACTACTTAAAACCTTTTTCTACCGTAACTGCTGTCTTTTCAGGTGAGCTGAAAAGCTGTCCACCTGGTATATAATATGTATACTGTTAAATACATGTAATTAATACAAACTGTATAACAAAACATATACAAAGTATGCAATATTAAAAGCAATCTCTCTGGAATAAAATATTTGGTTCAAAAGACCAAACCAGATAATGCCCAGATTATTACTTTACAATTCTTCCCAGTTACTGAAATTGAAACAGAGAGAATACAACAACCCTGTTAGCAACCACTACGATTACTTCATACACACATGTATACAACTTACAGCATAAGAGAAATTATACTTCAATTGGTCAGTTTCAAAAATATAAAGCTTAAGAATGCATATGTAAAAGTTTATTATATTATGCCCCTATGCATAATCCATTATGCACAGGGTGGAAAAAAAGTGAAGGGGGGGGGGGGGGGGGGGAAAAAAAAGAGCGGAAAAAAAGAGAGTGGGGGGGGGGGGAGAGGGATAAAAAAGGCAATGGAAAAAAAAAATAAATAAAGGAAGAGCAAGAAAGAAAAACAGGAAGGGGGGAGGGGGAATCGATCACCAGCCACTATATAGTTCTAGTCAACTAAAGCTCCAAGCAACAGACAGGCTGCAAAAACTACAGGGAAATTACTTTTATCTCTGAGATTGCACAGTATGAGTGACAGAGGTGTGGCCATTACTACACCATTCAGTGTAACAGCAGTGTCTTTCCCACAGGGACCAGGAGAATGAAGTAAGGACAGCTATGGTATGTAATTTTCTCCTCTATACTTGCTAAATTTTGTAAGGCAGAAGAGGAGAACCACATGGGTTTACTTCTTGACTACATCTAAGCAGCACTGTAAATCATTATAACAGATCAATAACAAGCTATGTAACAGAAGCACCTCACATATACATGAAGCACTTCACACATAATACGTCATTTTAAACAGTTGACATTTTTCTATAGCAGATACTTATGCATAACTAAGCAAAGAATGCATACAGTTAATGTAGTTTTCTTAGTATCGCTTAGAATACTTACTTTCTGGGTCTGGTTTGTTTTTTTTTATTTGAATTGCTTTCAAAGTTAAAGTCTCCTGAGCAAAAAAAAGCAGCAAAGCATACTGGCTTAATTATAGATTTCAGAGTTGCTACACTTGCTGCCATAAAGCTGTCTCTGGAAGTTACTCCTGTGTCATGCCCTTTTTACATTATAGCAAACAGATATTACACATTGAAAAAACCAGACAGAGAAGAGCTAATTACAAACAACGGGATTGTTCTTATACACAGAATGCCATTACAGGAATGGCACTACATGACTTAGCTAAGATCACTCCTTCTCTAGCAGAATATTCTTACCATATACTTCATTAATGTCTCAGGAATAATCTGCCAGCTCTGCCTGAAAACATCAGCCTAGAAACTTTTCCTCTACTTTATTTTCACTCTAAATAAATCACACTTCAAAATATGTAAATTTACCTGGTCGATCTACTGGAGGCTGAGACTGAGTTTCATAATGTACAGATAAAGAACTAGAAGGAAGTCCAGAAGGAAGGAAGAACAGTCCATCCAGAATCCCATCAATTATGGCCTGCAAGTTTGGATCCACACTGGGGCGAAGCTGAGAGAAGAATTCCACTGCACCAATTTCAACCATTCTCTGAGCAGCAGGTGGATGCTACATTAGGACAAATAACTGACAAAGTTAGCCTGAAAAGTCTCAATGTCTCTTAGGAAGTGCAGGGTGGTGGCAGCATGGGGAGGAAAGATGTAATCAAAACTTAGGTTATATTTTGCCTTTATTCGTTTAGGCCATGCATCAAGGATAGAATTTCTTTCCTCTGCATAGCTGCTGTTTAGTGATTAAAACACAAAAATGTAAGAATCTGCGATTCTGAAATGCCTGAAACATTTTATCAACTCTTTTAAAGTAAGTTGCACCATTGTTTAGATCTCCAGTTTCCAGGATCAGTGCAAATGCTTAGCTGCAAGCCATACCCCAAGGAAGAAATTAAACACTAAATGAGAAACTGAAGCAGCAGTGAAACTAAAGTAGAAACCCAGAAAATAATTATTTTTCCCAGCTATCTCTCTGACTCATTTCAAGTCACTCGAATTCTTTTAGTTTTTTGTCTACATACAGTGGCTTTATTATTCCTGGTTTTGTGAAACACTAAATCTAATTACATGGAGCTACAAAACCAAATAATATCCAGTTTTATTTAGCTTCAGCATTCTGAAGACAGAATTACAAATCATTAGGGTTGGAAGGGACCTCTGGACGCCACCTAGTCCAACCCCCCTGCCAAGGCAGGGCCACCTAGAGCAGGTTACACAGGAACAAGCCCAGGTGGGTTTTGAATGTCTCCAGAGAGGGAGACTCCACAACCTCCCTGGACAGCCTGTTCCAGTGCTCTGCCATCCTCAAGGTAAAGGAGTTCCTCCTTGTGTTGAGGTGAAACTTCTCGTGTTCTAGTTTATGGTCACTGCTCCTCATCCTGTCGCTGGGCACCACTTAAAAGAGTCTGGCTTCATCCTCCTGGCACCTGCCTTTGAGATATTTATATGCATTAATGAGACTTCCTCTCAGTCTTCTCTCAACTAAACAGGCCCAGCTCCCGCAACCTCTCCTCGTGAGAGAGATCCTCCAGACCTCTGATCATGCTTGTGGCCCTCTGCCGGACCCTGTCCAGTAGCTCCTTGTCTTTCTTGTACTGAGGAGCCCAGAACTGGACACCGAACTCCAGATGTGGCCTCACCAGGGTCAAGCAGAGGGGGAAGATCACCTTCCTCAACCTGCTGGTCACACTCCTCCCAATGCACCTCAGGACACTATTGGCCCTCCTGGCTGCAAGGGCACACTGCTGGCTCATAGCGAACTTACCATCTATCAATACTCCCAGGTCCTCCTCAGCTGAACTGCTCTCCAACAGGTCAGTCCCCAACCTGTACTGGTACTTGGGGTTCTTCCTCCCCAGGTGTAGTATACTACATTTGCCCTTGTTGAACTTCATTAGTTTTCCCTCTGCCCCATTCTCTAGCCCATCAAGGTCCCACTGATAAAGACACAGTTTGAATATAAATAAATGTTAGTATGTCATACCTTGATCAGACTGTTCACAAAATTTAGTACTTCCTCTTTTATTGGTACAACTGGAAAATTGAACCATTCCAAAAGATTAAGGAAAAGCACTTTTTCATGGACTAGATCTGCATATGAAATCAAGTTATGATCTAATTTAAACAGAATAGTCTTCAGAGATCGTTCTCTTATCTCTGTCAGTTCATGACCTGTCAAAAAACAAAAACAAAGCAAAAGAGAAAGGTTTTGAATAAACCTCTAAATTATCTAACACAACTTATTTCTTGTTTGGACAAACAGAATACTGACAAAGATCTGTGAAAAAAGTTGACTTTTATGCTGCCATATGATGTTTACCAGGAAGACAAACATGACTGCTCCCAGCAACAGTAAGCTATTCAAGCATGTTTGCATGGGGTAAAGAAGTGAAATACTATAAAATATACTGATATAATGTGGTGCCGAATTATATGAGAATAGCCTTTTTCTTGAAGCACGCAACTAAAATCTGAATACCTCTACCAAACTGTATTGTGGCTACCAAAAACTCCATCAGACCGACAAGCCGGACAAAAATCTACCCCAGCCCATTGAATCAAAAGGCACTGTCTCTGAAAAGGAAAGCCTTCGACGCTCCTTAGGGAAGCGTCACCGTGTGCCACCGTCCCCTCCACGTCTGCAGCGGGGAGTCGAATGGAAAAGCAGACGGCAGAAAAGTGACAAGGGGCTCAAAGGAGATGCGGATTGGGAGAGGGGCAGAAGCGGAGGCCGGGCAGGGGTAGCCGCCCTCCTCGAGTGCCAAGACCGGAGTCCCCAGCT